CTCAAAAAAAATCTCAGCCCAAGACTCCTATCCTAGATGTAACACCCTATTTGGAGTCACTTTTGTTCTTGGGCCCACCCCAAAAACTGACCGGAAGTGGCCGGAATTTCATCCCGAAATCCGGCCAAAACCTAAGTCGAAAATCAGACCTCCTACGCTTAAAATCAATGCAATCCTATCCAACCATCAGCTAGAACACGGAAAATAGGTAGAAATCCATACCTTATACGTCCAATTTGGTGAAGAAATGAGAGAGAACGAGCGGTTTGAAAAATCGGGAAAAACCACCGGATTTCTGCAATTTCCGGCGAAATTCGCGGCTGCTATCGACGGAGCTTGGCTGGGGTGTGACGGTGGGGCACGGCCGGTCTGTTTGGTACCGGTGTCACGGTTGGTGGTGGCCGGAATCGGTGGTTGCCCCGATCGGAGGAGGGGGTTCGCACGGGAGAGAGAGAGAGAGAGAGAGAGAAAGAAAAATAAAAAAGAAAATCTGATTTTATTTTGACAAAAACCCTTTTTGAGTTATTTACGGTTTTGCCACCGAAGGAAATTTCATCGCCAAAACCTCGGTATAACTCCGATTCAAGCCTACCGCCTGTCCACGAATTCATCTCAGAACCACCTACGCAACCAAACCACTTGTGGTCCCAAAATCCTTCCGGACAAGAAAATGACCGAAAGACCCTACCCCAAGGGTAGTTTCGTAATTTCATATTTTAATTTAGTTTTTCCATTCACATTGGAAATTAAACAGAGTCGGGGTGTTACACTCAAGACACGTTTTCGGTATTGTACAAAGAACTATGCTTGCATAGAATGTCAAACAATATGGATAGAATATTTTCAAGTTGTATTTCATTCTCCAAAAGGAGGTATTTATAATACAATGATGTAACCCTAGTAGGGTCAAACTAGAAAATAAGATAAAATCTTAATTACATAATATTTGTACAAAAAGAAAAAAAATATATGGTCCTAATAAACTATGAAATTAATCTCCTAATTAAGATAAGATCTCGCTAACACTCTCTCTCAAGTTGGAGCAAATATGTCATGCATGCCCAACTTGTCAAGCAAGTTGAGAAAGACAGTAGTAGACACAGCTTTCATAAGTACATCTGCCAGTTGATACTCGGATGATATAAATGGAAAATAAACAATCTCAGCATCCACTTTCTTTTTAATAAAATGTCGATCAACCTCCACATACTTTGTACGATCATTTTGGATTTTGAATTTTTTTTTTAAGGTTAAAATGTTAAGAAAATTAAATCACGAATGTTGAAACAAAAATAATGTCAAGAAAAATTAACGACAAAAAAAATTTAAGAGTTAATTATTCTTAAATAATTTAATAAAACTGTGGACTCAAATTATGAGTGTGAATAGTTGAAAGAAAAAACAATTTAAGTCCGGACAATATATAAATAATTGTATTTTGGAAGGTGAAAATTTGAGTTTAGTAGCAGCATGGTAACATCTTGAGTTTGACCCTTTTTTATACGAAAATGAGGAAAGTTAAACCCAAGTTTGACTAACGCTTTGAAGCCCTTCAGACCAAAAAAAAAAAAAAAAACGCTTTGAAGCCCAAAAAAAAAAAACAAAAAACACTTTTCTTTCCCTTATAAAAATAGGGAAACTGATCTGAAATAATGTTGGCCACGCGTGTGAACCTTTGACAAACTTTCTCTCTCGACACGATCATCTATCTCTATTCATCATCCATATCATCCATATTTTTTCTTAGGGTTTGGTTTTCTTCAGCCTTCCACCGCCAAGCCCTCTCCCAATCGAATCAGGAATCCGTCTTCTCTGGCCACAAAATCAATTGGGAATCCCAGTACATAGAGACCTCGTCTTTCTCACTTTCAAATACATTACAAAATTGTAGGGTTTTGCATCAATTATGAATATAATTTCATCGCCTTCGGTCATCTCTGTCGTCGTCATCTTTGAGATTGAGAATCTTCGCGTCTTGGGTCCTGGCTTGAATCCTTTGGCACCAAACTACTGCATCGCCAATTATTCTCGCTAAGTTTTTGCCCCCTTTTCTTTACTGTCTTTCGATATATTTTGCTTTTCTTTTACTGTGATTTCCCCCAAAAATCATGTAAATCTTGAGTCTTAAGTCTTAATCTTTAGGGTGAGATTTGTTGTAGTTGTTGCATAGAACTCTTCTTCAACAACTGGTTTTTGTTGTCATCACTTTTTGCAAATTTGGGTAATACAATTAATTCAAAAAGCTTGCCCCAAAAAGAAATAGAACGAATGGGTTCGCTTAGGCGGAGCTTGTCGAGAAGGCGGTCGTTTAGGTCTGGGGTGGATATGGACGATAGGGGATGGACTCTGCTCCATATTGGTTGTCGCAAGGGTGATCTGAAACAGGTAAATTCTTGATCCCATTCTACTTATTTGTAATTTTAGAGTATATTGTTGGAAAAATTATTGAGCGAATTGGTTGAAATTTGGTGTTTTGTTATATCTTGTTGAAACTCAAATTTGGCATTGGCATTTGCCTTGAGAATCTAAGTCTAATGCTTTGTTTGTTGATATGGCTCATGGGCAAGTGTATCGATCACTTGCTATATATGATTTGCACAACTATTCTTCTGCACAAGGATAATGATAAAGTGCCATGTTGAGGTTATTTTGCATCGTCTTCTGTTCCAACCAATGTTTTCAAAGGTTTTCAAAGGCGAGGCGAGGCGTTTTTAGTAGCGCTATGCGAGGCGTAAGCCTTGAAGCATTGAGGCGTAAGCCTTTTGAACATTAATTTATTTTATTAACAAAAATTTATAAATAATACAATACAGCTAAATTGTAGTACTAATTCGTATTGAAAAATATTTATTCAACATCAAAATAAAAACTCAATTCATCCCACCCCACAAAGGCAAAAGAGTTTAATAGAAACTTTATAAAACTAGGGAAAAGAGGAACAAATGAGCAGACAAGAATATCGGGTAAGGGTTATATCTTCTGCGGCCAGGTTATCCTTCAGGTCCAACTTGGGTATAATATTAATGTTATAGTATATAATATATATAGGTCCAGGTTATGGTTGGGGAGTCAAAACGTGCGTTTAACTTAAAATCAAGAAACCAAAACCTTAAAACGAAGTCGTTTCATTGAAGAAAACCTAAAAAAAAAACTTCATCTTCATCATCGTGCTATAGGCTTGCAGAATGCAGAAACAGCAGTGCTGTTCTGCCTCGCTCTGCCTCACTCCGCTAAACGTGCAGCAAGTTAAACAGACGAACGCTTGAGGCGATTTCCATTCGCCTCAGTCCGACGCACGCACCGGGGTGCAATTAGGCATGCCTTTGAAAACACTGGTTCCAACTCATAAAGGAATAAAATGTCAAGTAAGATAGGACTTTTTCATGATGTATGATTCAAAATTCTTATTGGAATTGACGATAGATTTATTTAATTTTGACAAGTATGATATGTTAGGTAAAGAACAAACGTCTTGTATTTTCAGACAGTATTTGTGGTTTATTTGTGAAGGGTCCATTTTGATAGAGTATTTGAAATGAGGTTTGAGCTTTTAGGACACATTGCTTTATCGGGCTTTAGAAATATTAAATTACAACATAAATTAAATTCCCAATTTTCATAAGGTCAAATTTATATGTGGATTTTATTGATGTAAGAAATCCTGATTAAGCAATTCAGATAATCAAAAGCGTTTTTGTTAGTGTTTGACAGGAATAGATAAAAGTGCGTTTTCTTGAAGCTCCCACGACCTACATCCTTTTCACTTCTTGTTTTGGATTATAAAATTAGCAAAGTTATTTGCGTTCCAGATAACAGCTGTAAGTGCGGGTCCCTTTTGGGGACATTCTTGAGTAAACATATGACTCAAATGATCACTTAAGTAGCCACCAGGAAATGAGAATTAGGCCCCTTGTCAAAAGTAAACTAATTTTTTTAATAACTTAAAATCTGAACTTTTATTTTCCTTTATCTTTTTGTTATCTGCTTTGAGGCCCCAAATAATTTGTTATTTTTGACAATTAATCACAAATTATTTAAAATTTTCTGTGGATTCAATTCCTTGTGCAGGTGAAGCGACTTCTTAATGAGGGAATGGATGTGAATGTTGCTGCTTGGGGTCCAAAATCAAAAGGGATTACCCCTCTTCACCTAGCTGCTGAGGGTGGCCATCTGGAGGTTATGGATGAATTGCTTGAGCGTGGTGCTAATATTGATGCCAGAACTAAGGGTGCTTGTGGCTGTAAGTAGTGTTACTCTCCCTTTTCCCTTTGGCTTGTTTTTCTCTTTTAATTGAGAAGATGAAAAACAAAAAAAGTTAAGATATATATGCTGATGTTTTCTCCTTCTTATACATGTTTAAACAGGGACTCCGCTTCACAGTGCAGCCAAAGAGAGGAGGAGGGAAGCCGTGAAGTTTCTGGTAGAGAATGGGGCATTCTTGCCAGACGATATGTATGACTGTAGGTTTAATCCTCCACTCCATTACTGCCCTGGACTTGAGTGGGCTTATGAGGAGATGAAGCGTCTTCAGCTAGAAAGTGCATCGTCAGGGGAGAGCTCTTGCAGCTCTGAAAGCTAAAAGTGTTGCTGTGATCTTTTTGCAGTTGGTTTGGCTATATATGCAGAATTGCACATAGACAAGTCTCTTTGTCACCATCTTGTGTTTCTTTGGTTGCTGCTGTCGTGCATCAGGGATGCTGTGCATTATGTTAGTGAGGGGAGAGCTCTGAAAGCCTAGTGTTCTTGCACACGGTTTGGTGATTGGTCTTCTTATATCTTTATGTATGTAGCATTGCTCATAGACAAATACCATGTCTCTGTTTTTCGGTTGCCTACATTTTGCATCAGAAATGTTTTGAGTACTTTGTGTAATGGAATGTGTTCAGAAATGTTTGAGTACTTTGTGTTATCGAATATGTTCCGAACATTGTTCTTAATCCGTTGTTTCTGGATGTTTGATGATAATAAAATAATTATTATTGATATTATTATGACCTACAAGTAGCTTTCGTTGTCTGTCTTTGAACGTTTGATGAAATCTTTGGGGCGTGCAAATTTGATTTAGTTCTATGTTCTACTGTTAACCTTAAATTGAGTTCGCCAACGTTAATGTCAATCTTTGAGGCGTGGATTGGGAAGGTTGTTTTTGCAGTTATGTTCTCCTGGGCTCTTGGGTGCAAGGAATTGGTGGTCAATGGTCGCTCATCCTTGGGAGGGTTGTTTAAAAATTATTTTATATCATTTTCAATTAAACAAAACACATTTTCTGGAAAAAAAATAAATAATACATTCTCTTTTTTCCTGTTGTCGACAAAAGAGAAGGGGCTTGCAGCCGCTGCCGAGAACCCATAGATTCTAGCATCGGCGATTCTGATTCTTTTGCTTTGATTTTGATGCTTTAGTTTTTCATCTCTTGTCATATCAAAGATAATAGAACTAACTTGGTTGTGATGAGTTTTCTTGTTCTTCATTTTTATATCCAAAAACCATTGAGTTCTTACCTCTAACATACCAACGCACCATTGAGTTATCAACAACCAATCAACCACTGAACAATATGCCAATATGATTTGTATAAGGATTTCTCTCTTATTATCCAGAAAAGAGAAAACAACCAATGGTAGAAACCAAAAAATTAAGGAGCCCAAATTTGTTATAAAAAATGAAACTGAAGTTTTCCCAAAATCATGGTTCTTTGCAGTTCACAAGAGATGAAAAACTAAGCGGATAAACATGGCAAAAGAATCAAAATTGAGGATGCCATAAGCGTAGGAGGCTGCAGGCAGCAGTTGCAAGGTTCCTGAGAACGTGTTCTGTTTTGTTGACAACAAGAAGAAGAGAACGTCTTGTGCCTTTTTTTTTTCTTTTTTTTTCTTTTTCAGGAAATGAGTTTTGTTTACTTAAAAATAATATGAAATAATTTTTAAATCTGTTTTTGTGGGTGACCACTATTCCTTGCCCTAGAGTCCAGGAGAATGGGACTAGTTGTTTTTGTGGTTGATTTTGGATTCTGAGTTCCTGTCTCAAAGCCCCCCGATTGCTGCAGGCCAAATGAAATTATACTTCTCTTCTTGGGTTCTTATCACAAATGGTGCCATCTTGCAATTTTGCTTCAAACATCAACGTTCATCAATGTTGCCTTTGCTGTTCGATTGTGGAAAAAGTTATGTTAGTTTGCTTACACACACGTAGCGCCCAACAAAAGCTGACATATTGACAACCACCACTAAAACTACTCCACATGGATATCATAGTGGTGCGTACGGTTTAGTTCGGTTTAGGTTTCCGGCCTTCTCCAACCTATTTGGACATAAACCCAAATTTTCTCCCTCAAAAAGTAACTATTTGGCTTTTGCCAAGACTCAAACCATTTTTTTCCCCAACCCTTCAAACTCAAATTTTAAGTCCGCAACTTTATTAAATTGTTTAAGAATTATTTAAGTCTAAATTTTTTTTATGGATAACTTTTTTTCATTTAATCTTTTTAAATAATTTCATAATTTAATATTTTGAACAATTTGACCTAAAAATTGAAATTCCATAAGTATAATTTTATTTGAGAAATAGGTGGGTATTTATAGAGTTTGGAGTGAGTTTTGGAGTTGGATATGATTTAGATTAATTAAAATATTATTTTAGCCATTGGATTTAAATTTCAGCCATTGAATTTTATTTTTATTTTTACCATTAAAATAGCTTCGATTTAGTATGGATCGTTGATGTGGATTACTATTGGAATTTTATTTTATTTTTAAAGAAAAACAAAACGGCTGCAAACCAGCGTGCGACACCTAGCATGACATATTCTACAACACAGCAACGCGGGGCCCGTTCTTTCCTCTTTGCATATGGGCTACATCATGGTTGTGCAGGCTCCACACAAAAAAATTCTAGTCCAGGCAATAGCTGGACTGGTATTTGGCCCCAAGTTTGGGTTTTCCCAAATTTTGGCCTCTTACTTTTATTGGGTTGGGAGAGATATTGGGCTATAATTTGGGGAGTTTTTGGGTTTGGCCTCATGAGTTGGAGATGGCCTTATAGCTGAAATCGAAATCAAATCATGTGAAAAAAATTTGGGTTTTTCGAGAGCAATCAGGCAGCTAAAATCAGATTTCATCTTTAAGTTTGAAATAATTTATCCAACCAAAGGCACAATTATGCCATCAATTCAACATGTTATCCTAGCTATGTCTAAACATTCCATCTTAACAACAGCCACTAGGTATAGTTCAGTCGGTTGAGTTCTTCCACCTCCACTTATGTGAGCAGAGATTTCGAAACCCCCATACACCCAATAAATATTTGAGTACACCCCCCCCCCCCCCCCCCAAATCGCTTGTACTAACCAAAAAAAAAAAAAAGTTCAAATCTTAACAAACGTTATATGCATCGCATCACCTCAAAACTCAAACAAGATATGTAAAATTCGTATGACTATAAAATTCTTGTTACTACCTAGCTCTCTTCTCCAAGATGAGGGTCATAAGATCAAGGTAGTCATATGACTATAAAATTCTTTAAAGAGTAGAAACTCTCTACTTTTCTAATGTTGGACTCAAGTTCATGAGTTTCATTCAACCTCCAACAATATTCTACATGTGAATCGAAATTCATAACCCCACATTTGTAACATGAATTCTAAGTGAAATGAAGGCAAATGTACCATAGAGAAAGCATAAATGTTATGTACAGGGAGAAGTGTCTTTTGGATTTGAATTTACCTTAATGAAAACATATCGAATTTACTTGGTGACGTAGTGGATAAAATTGATATTGAATTGTTCACCGTTGTAGTAAACTAAGACAATATGTCTCACATATAACATATCTTAATAGACGTTAGTTCATACTTTTTTGTTCATTTTGGTCTTGAACAAATCCCTGGTTATTGATATTTGAATTGTAACTATATTTATTTTGGATGGTTTGATATGGTAGAAAAATGAGAAAAATATGTAGCAAGTTATGGATTTTTATTTATTTATTTTGTTGTAATTAGACTAACAATGTTTAAAAATTACAAAAGAAAAAAGAAGTGGATTTAGGCCCAAAATTGCCGAACCAAACCGTACGTTTTAAATTGGTTTTGTTTCTTCTGTAACTTTTGTCAAAATCGAACTAAATAAAACTGTATTATTGCAATTGGTTCCGCTATGAGTGAAACTAATCCAATCCGGATAGTGCCCATCCCTAGATTCTGGTTCTCTAGTTAAAAAAAGACTTATGTTTAAGTAAACCAAGTCATTTGCAGCATTTGTCCAGTTGGGCTTAAGTTGGTTTCCAAAATATCAAAGCAGAAGCAGACCAAAAAAAAGAAACCGAAGCAATGGTCAGTGGTCACCCGTTTTCCTATCTGTTGATTTCGTGGCATTCGTATTTCAATAGTCTACAGAAAGGCCACCTTCACCAGTTGCATTGATATCTCTGAACACCCTCCACGTGACACTATCAAAAATGGGAGGGCGCATAATAATGACAATTCAACGACCAAACCCGTTGTATCACAACCACTTGTTTTTTCAAAAGTAGACAAATATTCACTTTCAGCTTTAAATGATCAAATGAATTGATACAAAAATAATAAAAAAATCAAACAGCCTGGCTCATTCTGGGCAAGATATGAATCGCCACCGCTTCCAGTCCCAACGGCGTTTTCACATCCCAAAAGCTCGGCGGCGCCGCCGTAACATCCACCACTAAAATCTTGCCACGACAAACAACGCACACTCTTCCGCCACCGCCGGCGATCTGATCGGCCCCTATCAGTCTCTCCGACTCCAAAATCTCCACCCACACATCCTTCTCAGGATCGTATCTTCTCAAGGCACCCTTGGCCTCATCCACCACGTACATAACTTCCTCATCCATGGCTGCCACCGGCCCTTTCCACCCTCCAATCATCCCTTCCGGCATGTCTTGCCACGTGTCCTTCTCCACATCGTACATAAGTCCCTCTTGCACGGCGTCCCCTTTGAGATTCACCATGCAGAGCTTCCCTCTCCATCCCACTGCCTCGATCGCGTCTCTGCTGAATCTCCCATCTCTAAGCCCTCTAGCTTTCTCCCACTCCCACCCCAAGTGATCATTCCGATGCTTTTTGTTTTTGGTTAAGTCCCACTTCTCCACAGAACGCGCAACGTCGATGGAGAAGTGGGACCCAATCCCACTGGCCACATAGACTCTGCCGCCTAGCGCTCCAGCCGCACACCAGCGACGCGGCGTGGTGAGTGGGGGACCAAAGGCCCATTTTTTAGCAACTGGGTCGAAAACCAGAGGGCGAGGAAGAGCCGGGAGAAGATTGCTAGTGGTGGCTGCGACGAGGACGAGGTTGCCGGAGACGGAGACGGATTGGATGGGGAGGTTGCGGGAGATGAAAGAAGGGTGGCGGAGGAAGAGGCGGAGAGGTGGGTCAGGGGGAGTGGCGGGAAGGGCATGCCAATTGGATGAGAGCGGGTCAAAGCTGTAGAACTGGATGGAATTGGGGGAAGATGAGGAGGTCAAGAGAGCATACAAAGAGAGGAAGGGAGGGAAGGAGGAGGAGTAAATAAGGCGACGCCATGAGCTGCAAACGGAGAACAGAACGGAAGGGTGGACAAGGGAGAGGCAGACTTGGGCTACGTCGTCGGGCAGCCCGGGAAGGAGAGGCTGATGGCCGTGACCGACGACGTCGTTTCCACTCGGTCTTGTGCGTTTTGTGGGAGATCTGGAGCTGTCTGCCATAAGCAGAGTAATTTAGAGGGTTTGCCGTGGGCTTTGAGGCTTTAGATTCGGAAAGGAGGAAACTTGAAAATGCAATAAAAAAGCAGAGGGGGAAAAGCAAAGTGGGGAAGGGTCCGTTATGCTTTTGGCTTGGCTTTATTTGAAAGATACCAAGTTTACGAGGAGAGAAAAAGAGTTTTGAAGTTCTGGTTGGTGCAGAACAGAAAAAGGCAAGTCATAATGTCAGCACCCATAATAAAACACAAAAGCTGACCTTTCTGTCTTTGACAAGGCGCTGC